AACTACCAGCAGGCGGTACTCTGGTCTGACGGCCATCTATTTGTAGATTGAGTGTGTCGTGGCAATGAAACTATGTGCGTGTGTGTGTGTGTGTGTGTGTGAACTGGCGTGGGGCGATTTCTAGTTGTTGCCTTCACGGCGTTTGTACAATTTTTGTACGAGATCTATACATGAAGTTATGTGGAATATATATATATATATATATATATATATATAAAGACAATGGGCGTGAGGCTGGGGATGCAGAGGTCTTGGTTCTACTCTTTTTTGTTGTTGCTTGTTTCTTTTTCTCCTTTGAGTGCCCCCCCAATCCTCCCTCTCCACGAGGCACACTTCAAGAGAAGAACCGCAAGTACAGGTGTAGTTGTTTCACCTTTTTTTTTTGTGTTTGTGTTTCTTTTCCCTTTTCTTCTACGTCATGCCGTACCCTTATGCCCTGCAGTGTCGCGAGACCTTGCCGGCTGATGTGATCGCCATGTACGATGTGACCGTCACAACTGGCGGAAGCATCACAAGCGTCCTTTCCCCATGTTCAAAGCATGGGAAGTCCAATATATTTCTGGCGGCGTGCGACGGCGATGTCCCGGCGCTTCGGATGTTTCTAGGGGCTGGTGTGGATATTAACAGCATGGGGGAACCTAGCCCACAGTACGGCCCCCAGTTTAACCGACGCACACTCTTTCGGGCCCCGCCGCTCTGCTACGCGGCAGGCTACGGACGAGAAAAGGCTGTAGCGGCCCTCCTAGAGGACGGTGCGGACCCTCTGAAGACCTCATCGACGGGATTTAAGGCGATAGATTACGCCAGGCATCGTGGTTACATGATCATCGTGGAAATGTTGGAGGCTGCGGAGAGGGGGCAGCACTCTGGGGAGCCAGCGGGGAAGGAATGAACACTGCATGCCGTTCCCATCCCCGCTGGTGATTCGTATGTTTATTGCATCACTCTGCATCCTTGGCCTCACCTACAGGCAAAGGTGAATGTACACTATTATCTTCTTCCGCGCACAAACACGTGCAAAAACGATGTGGAAGTTCTTCGATTGTTGTTGTTTTTAAATTTTTTTCTAGTTGATTGTTTGCTTTTTTGATGTTTCGTTTTTCTAGGCCTTTCGGGGGCCTCGTTGCAGGAGCTAGCTGCTGATGGACGTGGCTATATATTGAGGGAGGTCTGTGGACATGCTACGACTTTATTACCCGACCCCCCGCGCATCCCTTCTGCTTATTTGGCTGCTTGCTCATTTGTTTGAGTTGGGGGAAAGCGGGAGCCTTTCACGTCGCCGCGTCATCTTCTTTCTTTCCCGTCTCTCGGCTTTGTTCTTCCTCGCTGGGTTGTATTATTATTATTTTTTATCCCACACTTTTCCATAGCCTCTCCGCCTTGATGTAGGTTGAGTTTGCCACCATGTCGGTATTCCGCGGTCACACAAGCGGGCAAGGCCTCTAGGTGTTTTTGTGCCGTCTTGATGGTGTGACGAAACACATCTATGAATCCGGAGATGAGAAGGTTCAGAGCAACGGATGCAAAATGACTCCGATGGGGTGTGACGCGTGTGGGCTGGCGCTGGCAGGCGGTCCACCGCCAGGTAACGCGGAGGCTGTTGGATTGAATGTCAACTGTCAAAGCGCGTAACATGGAGCAGAGCGGCCATTCACCGCATGACTGATGCTGTTCTTTTGCCTGTCTGCCTGGGCGTTGCTGCCGAGGCAGCGGATGCTGTGTGTGTGTGTGTGTGTGTGTGTGTGTGAGGAGAGCGGTGAGGCGACAAGAGCAGGTGAGTGTAAGTAAAATTGAGGGGTTTTCCTCGTTTGCTTTCTCCCACCCATTTGGGGCGTACGCCACGTGGTTAGTTTTGTCTGCTGGCTTCTCGGGCGTTGTCGTGGTGGGCTTTCAGAGGAAGGGGCGTGTGTGAGCCGCATATATCTCTCTCTTTCCCTTGTTGTCTTTCCTGCGAATCTGTTTTTCTCTTGGCTGTTGGAGTGGCGTGCCTGGAGCTGCTTGGCGTGAGCCAACGAGGGGGGGGGGGGAAGCGATAACAATGGAGAGGAACTTTTACATCTTTGGCAGCGTCATCAAACGGGAGCTGCGCTCGAACTACAGCAGGCTCTACGCCAAGTGCCGCGAGGAGGTGGCGGCATTATGGCAAGTGCATTGAGGCCGGTCAAGTCAACCGCAACTTAGCGCAGGGACTGTGCGGCGCTGAAGCAGCAACGGGCGACGAAGCAGTGAACTTCGCGAGCAACCACAAACGAAGAAGGACGCAGTTGCTGCTGTTACCACTATGACCTTTCTAGTTGCTGCGAGGATGCACAAGCAAATGAGGAAGGTGGTGAGATCAGCCATTGCATAGAGGCCGGTGGACAGAAAGGGTGGGAAAAGAAGGAGGGAGGGAAGTCTTTCGAAACACAATACCGACAGCGGGAAATGGAGGTGTACGGTTGTGCAACCCACTGCGCCGGCTATTATGTCTTCCTCTTTTTTATTTTTTCACGGCCCTTCGTATTTTTGTTGTTGTTGTTGTTTTTTTTGTTTTCTCTGGAGTGCAGCGAGAGGGTTGTTTGCCGCCATCACAAGTGCGAACAACGGCACCAAGAAAACGAGTCTTCTTGTGTGCCTGTTAGCGGGGTCTTCGGATTTGTTGGACCTGCCTCTCTTTCATGTTTGCCGCCGCAGCAGCAGCAGTAGCAGCCCGGTGGCGAGCGTTGCGCCACATCCGCCGTTTTCCGTCAGTCTTGTCCTGCACGTCAGGGTAGCTCGTGTGGGTGCGGCATCCGCTGCTTTGGTTACTCGGTCTTTGACAGTATCCGCAAGCCTCCCAGAAGGCGGAGCGGGCCGCATGCATCAGTTTTCCCGACTGCAGCCGCTTCCACTAGCAGCGGCAGCAGCAATAACAGTAATAATGTCACCAGGAGCGGGTCGCAGGGGAGTTGTGTGAGTCGCACCCGCCCAACAAAGCCGGCGTCGGAGCGTCTGCAGGAGGTGAAACGAATTTTTCCCGAGACGCTGAGGAGCGGTCGCTACAAGGAGAATAATACGAGATATCAGCGTCTTTATGAAGGTGCCGCGTCTGCAAGTAAATCAGAACCGGATAGGCGCTTCTACCGCAAGCTTGAGGACCACCGCGAGGTGCAGGATGATGACCCGTACACTAGTGTCTTTTCCGAAAGCGTGGGAGTCAAGTGACAACGGGTGAAGGAGTGGCAACGTCAGTTCGAAGAGGAAAACTCGAATGTGGAGTTGTCGTATGAACGCACAAACGTTATTGCACGACTTGCTGCGCCAAATTGGTTTGTGCGTTACCTTCTTAACGTGCGGGACAAGGGGGGGCGTGGAGCATGCCGGGTTGTTGTGAGCTTGCATCCTCATCACCTCAGGGTTTTTGTGGTTTGTTGGGTACATGTTCTACACCCCACTGGCTGAGGCAAACCCCATCGTGGAACTGCGATGACCTCCCGCATGGAAGCGGAGACGGTGGGAAGAGGGTGGGGGAGAAAACGAGGAGAGGAGAGACGTTTGACGTAAGCAGCAAACACACAGAGCCGAAGTGGCAGGTGTCTCAATGGTCTCATAGCGGGGTGACGCGTGTGTGCGTGTCTGTTTGCATGTCTTATTGTGTGAGTGTGTGGCGCGTTGGTGCCTCTTTTTTTCACCTCATTGTGTCGCTGCCGCCTAGCGCCACCGTTGACCGAAGGGGTTTTGGTTCATTGTCTTCACTTCTTTTTTGTTCTTTCTCTTCCTTTGCTTGTCTGTTTCTCCTGCTGCGTCACCGTCAATTTATTTCTGTCTGGTCCGCGTGGTGCAAGAAAAGAACGGGGCAGCAACAGCGGGAAGCAGCGAGCGGTGGTGAGGAGAGACGAAGAGGAAGAACAGACAGAAGAAGCGGTTAGCGTGTGCGTGTGAAGGCCACTCCCACTTCTCCCTTTCCTTCTCTTTCTTTCACACACACTCTCGCTCTGGTAGATGCCGAGCAACTACGCGGTAGCGAGCCAATGTCAACTTCGGCGAGATGAGATGCATGAGCTTCTCGCCCTCTCCGCCGCGGCCGGAAACGGCACCGAGACAGCGGAGGAGGACAAACTACCGCTCTGGCGCATGCTGCTCACCGAAGCTCATGTGCGGTCGCTGCTGGCGCACACCCTGGTGCGTGTCTCGGTGCCGAAGAACAAGCAGCAGCAGTTGATTCATGGGAACAAATACGTGCAGGCCAACGCTCAGGCGAATAGCTCCACGGAAGGGCAGCAGCATCATTACCGTGTGGGAAAAGTGGTGGCGCTCGTCCCGCGGCCCCGAGCCTCGCCGGGTGGTCTGCAGACAGCAACTGACGCCTCTCCGGCAGCCTCGCTTCTCTCAGAGTGGCTCCTGGGCATCAACTTTGGCGAAACAACTGATTTGCTGGGAGCCAAGTATGTCTCAAATGAGCCCTTCTCAGCCGAGGAGCACGCCGTCTTTGTGCGCTCCTGCCTGTCAACACGCGCAGACACCACAACAGCGGCATCTGCCCTTATGTCTGCCGCAGAGGCGGACGTCGTTGTCCGCAACCTGTATGACATTCGCGAGTACGTCAGAGCTGTGGTTGCTGCGCGTGGCGGAAAGGCAGCGGCTGTGGTTTCTGGTGCAGCGGGTCGCAAGCACCCACGAGACAGCGCCGCTGCAGCACTAGGAGGCACGGGCAACGAAGGCAACTGTAATGATAATGAAGACGACTGTGATGGGGAGGGGGGCTTGCTTACCCGCGAGGAGCTGCTAGTGGAACGTGCGCGGCACCGCGAGGAGCGTTGCCGGTGGGAGTCTCTTCGCGACGAACAGCAGCGGCATTTGAGTGGCCTGCGGCAGCTGCTAAACAGCAAGAACGGGGAGATTCAGCGGGTGCTGCACACCCAGCGGCAGGCGGAGGCGGAGCACAGGACGGAGATAGAGCAGTGGCGGGCAAAGACGGAGCAGCAGGGGCAGACGATCCGGCGAACCGAGCGGATGCTCGCCGAGGAGCGGGAGGTGCAAAGGGAGAACCGCGAGAAGACCGAAAAATTAGTCGCGCAACTCAAGAAGCTTGTGGAGCAGACCCGGAGGTTTAAGGAGGTGTCTGACACGGTGGCAGAGTGGCTGCGGCTGGGCACAAAACAGCCAGAGGATGTGCTGGCCTCCTTGAAGATAAAACTGGCGGAGTCGCAGATGTGAGGAGGATTTTATTCTCTTTAAATATATTTATACATATATACGGTTGCGCCCGGTGTGTGTTTGTGCTTATTTGGCTTCCCTCTTGATGCCCTCGCCGCGTGGATGAGAGCCTTCCTGCTGGCACCGCCGACAGGCTTCCTCCTGATTGTTTGCTGTTGGTGTTGTAGTTTTACGTTTTTATCTCTGCCTTATTCCATGCGCCGCGGGCTGCAGTCCTTTTTTTTTTTTTTTTGTTGCGCGCATCCTCCTGTCATTTTTTTTTTTTTCCCCTCCCCCCGGCACGGCCCTGCAGGGAAATTTTCGTGGCCGCAAGCTGCGGCGGAAGTACCAGGTGTAGTGCGCCGTTTTCGTTGTTGTCTGCGGCGACATGGTGGATCGGGCCGTCGTTATTTTCCTTTTTGCCCAGGAGAAACTGCTCTTCCGCTACCCGATACACAACCCTTTTCACATCGACGTCAACGGCGGTCTTGCTAGGGCGCGGGGAAAATCCCCCGCGGTCGCTTCGGACACCACCACCACCGTGACCTCCAACGCGACGACGGCAACGACAAAGGCCTCAGAGCAGCAGCAACGGCAAAAACAAAAACAGCCTTCTACCGCCGCGCCAGCCGGTGTGGGTGTGCGGAAAAAGCGCCGTAACACGATGCGCTCGCATCCAACTCCAGCCACAGTGACAGCAGGCGAAGCAGTCGACTCCAAACGGGTTTTTGATGCCGACGGCAGTGGCGCCGTAAAGGCGCCGCATTTTGGGTTAACGCCCTCGTTGGTGGCTAACGCAGCACCGCATGCCGGACACACAGGTGGAAACAGCAGGAAAGGCAGTCACAGCGAGGCGGGGGAGGATGATGATACATGCGTGGGGGTGCAAACAACGGTCCTCGTCCACCTCTTGCGTGCGAGATTTTTGAGTTGCACGACGATTCAGTTTGCTGGATCGACGTTTCTCATTTACCCGCTGCTTCCGAGCAATGTCAAAGCTCAGAGGCTTGATGCCGACGAGCCGAGGCGGTCCCGCAACTTTACCACAGACGGCGGCCTTGTCGACGTGGCTCATGGTAACGGCGACGACGAGAACGAGGACGGCGAAGAGGGGAAAGTGGGCAAGGAGGAGGAGGAAGAAGAAGAAGGGGAAGGAGAGGGCAGGACAGGGAAGCGGGCGAAGGTCAATAATCCATCGGCCGCCGCTTCGCAAGGTGTAGTGCTGGTTGTTGCCATGAATCAACCAGACAGTGAGAACGGTGTCATTGCAAACCTGGTGCAGGTGTTTATGAATGTGCTCGTTCGCGAGGAGCTGCGCTCGCACTACGCCACGGAGCAGGTGCTGCGGATGGAGCGACGGATGCAGGCGTGGGATATGGGTGGCGACTGCAACGGCAATGATGGTGGCCTTGCCAAGCACGACGCGCCGCCTTGCTCCGGTCGCGGCAGAAGAAAACGCCTGTCTGCATCGGATATGTTTGCAGAGCTTTTGAAGGACGCAGAGCTTTCGCTCTGCCGAGAGATTTCTCTTCTCGCACAGCATATAACCGCCGTCAAACACAACAGCAAGACGGAAGATGTTGTGATGCCCTCAAGGCCCTCTCCAGTCGTTGGGCCATCAAATCCTCATCGTGGCAGCGTTGGAAACAACAACAATAACAACAGCAGCAGCAAGTCAAGGAATATAACTGGAAGTAGTAGTAGTTGTTGTTGTCATCACAACAACGGCGGTGGTGGTGGTGGTGGTGTCAGTGTGGCGCCAAATGTGAGCAGGGCGACGGAGCTTGTGGTTCGTGGGTTATTCACTTTGCCTGTGGCAGCCATTTTGGGGCGGCGCAGGTCCGCACCCTATCACACATCCGCCTACGTGAAACAAAATCCAAATCTCATTGTGACACTAGAAGATCCCTATTTTGCCGAACGTCTGGCAAAACCGTACGTAGAGGCTGTTGGGTGGTGTGCGTCGCAGTTGCTGCCGTTAAGCAGCATATTCGCCACACTTGGGTCACTCTCCCGGCCGTGGCGCATGGGTGGCTTGCACCGTGCCTTGGAACGGTGTTTGGCGAGTACCCTCTACCAACGACAGACGATGAAGCAGCAGCAACAACAACAACAACCGCAATCGCAAATGGCCTTAGCGACTGGAAGCAATAGTACAACCCGTTTTGGGTGGATACGCACAGAGGATAGCTTTAGCCAAGAGGGTGGCGGTAACCCCTTTTCACTGGAGGATCAAAACTCCAGGTTGGACGTCGATGCCCTCATAGTAGAGGCGGTGGAGTTTCTTCGTTTGAGAGGGGCGCTGGCGATAGATGACGAGATAACTGTGGTCTTCACACACGGTGACCTTTCCCCTGAGGCGGCAGGTGCGGCGCGCTGGCCACGCAAGAAGAAGGGCGGCACCGATGCCTTTTGTCCATTTTCCCCCACAACTTTTGCAGCAACGCATTTTGTTTCTCCGCAGGATGAGGGGTTCCCAAAGTCAAGGCAGCTGTCGGCGTCGCCGGTGGCCCCTGCGTCAATGATAGGGGTATTGGTCTTCGAGGGAATGCGGTCGTCGTGCGGCACCGCGCTCGGCGGGTACGGGGGTGGATTGGGAACCCCGTTCTTTGGTACCGATGAGGTACCAGACACGCCGGCATCCTTCCTCAAGGCAACGGTGAAGACATCCACATCGTCAGCGCCGTCATCGCCTCCAGTGTTTTCTTTGCCTAACACAAGTGGGGGTGATGTTCCCCAGTTTGAAGTATATTGTGCTTGGGGCAATGCGTGCCCCATATGTGAGGAGTTGGCCTCCGCCCCGCATGCTTGGCGTATAGGCAATTCACCGATTCGTTTATCGTTTCCGTTTCTGGCAGCTCCCATTGCGGAGGCCGCAGCACGGCGTGGCCGGCAGGGCACTCGCCTCATCGATCCCGAGTGCTGTCGGTTGATGGCCGACCAACGACCGTGGTTTACGCGCGCCAACGCGTTTACTGTACCTGTGGCTCAGACGGAGGTTTCGCCGGTGCAAAAGTACCGCCACCTTACGCGCGGTTGTGAGGATGCGGCTGCGCAAAAAGTGAAGGAGGCCGTGAAGGCAGGAGGAGGCTGCTCATTGGTTTCCCGAGCGGACTCTGGGGGACGCACAAAACAGAATATTCCAACGAAGGATGAGAAGTTCACCGCCATCACGCCTGGAAGCACGCCGGTGATGGTGCGGGAGTGGTTAGCGGAAAATCGCAGCGTTATTGAAGGCCGCCTTGCGGATGCACTAAAGCAGAGGCAGTTATTGGAGGAACACACCAAGCAAGTGACAGAGAAACGTGCGGCAGCAGCAGCGGCAGCAGCAGCAGCAGCAGTGGAAGCGGCAACGGCGGCGGCTTGTTCGAATGCTGGTGGCAACCACGGTCAACAGCCTCATTTACCATTGCCAAGTCAACGCTATCACAAGCGGGGCTTTTTGTCCCCGGGCTCGGTCCCTGGTTTCGCCGGAGAAGCCCTTCCGCTCTCCCCAGCCTCCCTCACCCCCTCCCATGGCTCGTTCTCACCGTTGCGCCCCCACTATGCAGTTGGGGACGGCCAGCTTATTCCCACAAGACGTATGATTGGTGCTGAGCGGGTCGTTCCATTTGAGGCTCTTATGCAATTTACCTTTCACCACACGGTTGCACTACTTTGGGGAAAGCCGGGCATTGGTGTGGAGACGTTGCTGTATTTGCTGGAGTGCAACCTTCGCCGTTTACGGCCTTTTCTGGCACACCACACGTGTCTGCAGCAATTGATGGTCGCCACCGGGTCCAACTGCGCCACGGCCGCTTTCAGTGATACCGCGTCTTGCTCGTCGGAGCAGGCGGTGAGGTCTCTCTCTGCACAGTCTGTAGCGAACTCCTGCAACGCGTTCCAGGTTTACCCGTCATGCCCTCCAACTACTTCCATGCAGGGACAAGAGGAGGGGAGGCAGCAAAAAGGGGAGGGTGAAGAAGTACTATCAAGCTTGGAACAACAACTGCTGGAGGCATACACCGTATTCACAGAGCTCTCCCTTATGGATTTGCTGCGGCAGTTACATGGGATGACGGTTGAGGTGGTGCCGACACGCCTGCTGTTGCACGCCGTTGTGAATGCCTTTGCGGATGTACTGCTTGTAGGGAGAGGGAATAGCTGCGGTGGCTAATGTTGTTGCTACCGCTGGTTGTTGTTGTCGTTGTTGTTTTTTGCAGTATGTTGGTAGTTCTTTCTCTCCCTCGTCCCCCTCCATTTGTTGTTATTTATTTATATCAGTTGTTGTTTCTTTTTTCTTTTTTGAAATTATTAGCGTGCATTGTGGTTGCTGCGTATTTCTTGGCGTTCGCTGTCGCTTTTTTTTTGTTTTGTTTTGTTTTGGTGTTATCTTTTTCATGCTGGTGCGCTTTCTTCATCTTTGGTTTATTCCTCCTTTGTGTCTCGCGGTGTGGGTGCTTTTAGGTAGATTTGGGTGCCTTCTGCCCTTGGCCTCCTCGCCTCTACAAGGGTTTTTTGAAAGGGAAGGGGGCGGCGTGGCAACCAAGCGGCAGGGGGAAAGAGAGAAGCAAAGGTTATAGGGGTGGGGGTCGCTTGCCAAAAACATCAAAGTAGAGGAAGCTCCGACTAAAAAGATAATTTTTTGCACACTCCACCAAAGCGCCTAGTTACTATACTATTTGTTTGCTTGTTCGTTTTGCGTTACCACCCCTCCACCCCACAGTGTAGGAAGCGGGAGGAAGTACATTTTGCCCCCACCCCTCCCACCCTCCACCTCCCAACGAATAGAAGTAGAAAGGAGCGGAGGCCAAAACATATATATATATATATATTATTATTATTATTATTATTATCATTATTATTATTAATTATTATTATCATTATTATTACTGGGGGTGGTGGTAGTAGTAGTAGAGTAGCTTTTTTCATATACGTAAGCAGTGGCAATATGGACACGGCTAAAGGCGGGGTGGTGCTTGCCGGTGTCTGTATTGGAATGTGGATGGTGGCCACTGCCCTCTGTTTGTCTCGCACTCCTTTGCTGCTGGAGGACCGCCATAGTCCTATTGCATCACCGCTAGTAATGGTGAAGGTTGTCATTCTCGTTCTGCTCGTTCTTTGGGCGCTCTGTTATGCGGGGCTGGGCGAGCTTGGCTTGCTCTTTTCGGATGCATACTGGCGTATTATACCCGCCTGCATTTTCCACATACTCGTGCTTCAGCTCCTGCGGCCAATGGCGGTGATGCTTTTTTGCGTCGTGATCTCCACGCCGGCGTCCTGTTTGCAGAGTGCGGTGCATGCCAATGCAAGGCGAGAGATGTCCCCATCTAACCAACAGGCGGATTGTGTGGCGATGTTGCCAGTGGATACGGGAGAAAAGTTCCATGTGCCGTACCTGCGCCGCGAGGGGTTAGTTGGCGTGGACTTTCGCGGGACGTGCTCGGTGGGCGAGGAACTGGATTCCGTAAGGCAGTCACGGAACCTGCCTGGTGTGGCTGGGGAATTCACACACCTAACGGATCCGAGTTGTGCGTCTGTGACGAATACAGAGGGCTTAGAACTTGTCGACAGCATACCTTTGACGAAGTGCGGCGATATTCACTACTCGCAGCTTAGTCATATTATTAACACGGCAAAGGTATTAGGCAGCGTCGACGGAGACAGCACGGGGCGGCCACTGCCGGGAGGATGGGACCCGTCCCAAGTGAAGGGACCTGTGGGTGGGAAGCTGCAACAGGAAAGCAATGGTAGTGAGGTTTTGCCAGTTTATCCGGTCAATGCGAAGGCGAAGGCGTCAGAAGAGGTTGCAGACTACAATATTTATAGCGATGAGTGCAGCGGCATGCATGTGCCTCCTAGCCGACGTTGTAGTAGGGTTCTTTCTGCTTTCGGCTACTGGCTTATTGGTCGCCTGCCGCCCGTGGGTGTCGTGGGGATGCAGAAAGACGCAACGGAGCAGTGGTCGCGTCTCTTACTGTGGCGAGTAGCGCTGCGCATGCAGCCGCTTATTTTTGTGTGGTGTATGTCCATCGGCCTGAGCTCCGTCTTTGTCGCATTTTTGCTGATGGACAATGTGCGTGGCTGCATGGAACGTAACTCAGAGATCTCTGTGTGCCGAACCTCTGGCATGGAAGGTTTAACCCCGCCACGACTGCATCTCCCTCGCTCCCTCAGTATTATAGCACTTGTAGACAACGCACTGTTGCTTTTGCTGTGGGTTGTATGCGGTGTGGAATGTCTCAGCCACATTGGCAATGTCATGACAAAGCAGAGCTTTGCACGCACCTACGTTATGGGGGCGTTGGTGCTGATCTTGCATACGTTGTATGATTCTGTGGAGCTATTTGATGAGCTCCGGTACAATGGACTGGTGGCCGTGGTGATGCTCACACTGAGGAACGTGTGCGACATTGTCTTGGTTGTGCTGATTGCACTGCGCCTGGGCAACAGCAACAGACGGATGCCGTGGTGGGAGCGCTTTAGCGAGTCGTTGTGGCATAAGGTGACCAAGACCACGGGGTGAAGTCCCACACGAGTCGCTACGGAAGAGGCCTACCAAAAAAAAACAACAAAAAAACTGGATGGAAGTGAAGGAGCTTTAAGGGGAAACGGTATGGATGTTAGCAAATGTTTTGCACGAGCCGAAGCAGCAATATGATACTGGGTGCATGAAGGACGAAGGATTGGAAAAGCCCTCACTTTCATAATGCCTTTCTACATAAGTGTGTGAAGGGTGTGCTGTATGAACAGACAAAGGATGGTACTGAGGCAATCCGCATGTCATTGTGAACGCGCCGGCCGATGCGTTCATTTCCTGCATGTACGCCTGGCTGTCTTACGAGGGAAAGAAAGTAAGCAAATGTGTGCGAGGCACAAAGGAAGGTAGTAGCAAGCCAAGTCCCTTTCTGTGTGTACAGTGTAGCGGAGTGGGCTCCTGGCTGCTTCGAGTGGAAGACGGAAGGAAACCTGAACAAAAAAAAAATGCGCTCAGCTTTCTTGTATGCAAGTCTGTGTGGTACGCGCACCATATCTGGTTTTCAAGTAGATGCGCGGTTGCAATGAAAGCGATGGGGTAAATAATGTCTGTATTATGATTTTTCTTCAATGTTCCGTTGCTTGGGGCCATTTGACCTTCCCCTCCCCCTCCATTTGTTAATTGTGTGTGTATTATTGTTGGAATTCTGCCATTGTGCTGCTTTGTGCCTTTGCATGTGGGTGCTTTGCTTGCCTTTCAATGTTTACCGCCGGTTACTGACCCCCCCCCACGTGGGTATGGCAGGAGCGGGGGAGGGGAGGGGCTCGTAATGACTTCGTCTCCGCTACTGCATACAACGATGCGTTTTTTTTTTCTTTTGTTTTTGTTTTTTTTTTTTTCGTGTGTATCTGCTTGTTTGTTTGTTTGTTTGTTTGTTTGCTGGTTGGTTGGTTGGTTGGTTGGTTATTTGTTGCTGGTGCGTGAAAACTTCTGGGAGACGTGTGCCGCGAGAAGGGACTAACCAGCAACGTGTTTTTTTTTGTCTTTTGTGTGCATGTGTGCGTGCTTCGGCTTCTGTACGGGCACCTGGGTGCGTCTCGCCTGTGCGAGAACGCCGTGGAGAGGCCGGCTACCAGCGGCATCTGCCCGTTGCAACTTATTGGCTTCTCCTCACTGCTGGAAGTGTGCGTGTGGAAATGGTGTGTTTGGCCTCACTCCAGGCCTTGAACAGTCCTGCTCCCTCCCTCTCTCCTCGCATCGCTTTTATCGTCTCTCCCCGCGTAATTGGGCATGCGGAGAGAGTGGCACAGCCTCATCCAAATGTATGTGTTCCGAGTGTTGGCTTTTCATTGCTTTTTATGGTTGTCTATTCACTCACGCCCCTTCTCTTTATTTTTCTTTCTCTCTGTGTGCCTTTGTGATTTGTGACTCTTTTTTTTTTTGTTTCATTCCGCTGGTTTTGGGCGCTGGCGGGAGGTGGTGTTTGTCACTCGTCGCTTTGCAGCGGCCGGTATTGCCACCGCATGTCTGATTCTGCGTGGGTGCACCCTGCATGCATGTGCAGCGGACGCTGAGCCCCCTTGATCACCCTACGTTTCCGCAGGGATACACAAATGCATTTTCTCATTTCTTCTTTATTTTTTGTTTCCTGTTTGAGCCGCGGGGAAGCGAAACTAAAAAGAGACGAAGGAAGAAGGGGGCCACATCCACACCACATTGTTAGAGGGCACCCCCCACCTTGATAGAGTACCGAAGGATATTCACGAGAAGGGAATCGCAATCGCCACGCTAGAGTACATCACACGCCGCTAGTTAGATTCCGTAGCAGCAACATCTCACTACCGGCGACTTGTCTGGGCTCTGCGTCGCGTCTCACGCACCTCCGCTACAAGGGCACGTATTTGCACATTGCAGCGGCACACTCACGCAAGGCGAAAGGGAAGAAGTTGCTCAGACTCTTCTTGCTGCGGTTGCCTACATGGACGGTGTAACGCGCAACGTTGGCTCTACTCGCGCCGCGATCCAGCAGTACACCGCCGGCCAGACAAATGTGGCATCTGGCAACAGCGCAAAAGCACTCAACAGCGCCCGATCAAATATGACTACAAGCCACTCCACAAACAGCACCCGCCGCTCCGGCAGCAAGCGGGACCGCGAGACTGCCGCCTCCACCGACGTTGGGTATTCGAAGACGGAAAATAAGGATGCCAAACAAAAAACGACTACCGCCGCCGTTGGAGCGGAAAACAGCGTAGTGGAAGTACAGCCACCCGTAAAGAAGAAGAAGGTGACATACGCCCTCCCGAACCAAAGCCGCGAGGAGGGCCACTTCTATGTGGTGCTCGGCGAGGACATTGACGTGTCGACGCAGCGCTTCAAGATCCTCTCACTGCTGGGGGAAGGCACCTTCGGCAAGGTGGTAGAGGCGTGGGACCGCAAGCGCAAGGAGTACTGTGCTGTGAAGATTGTGCGTAACGTGCCCAAGTACACGCGGGATGCGAAGATTGAGATTCAGTTTATGGAGAAGGTGCGCCAGTCAGACCCCGCCGACCGCTTTTCCCTGATGAAGATCCAGCGCTACTTTCAGAACGAGACCAGCCACATGTGCATTGTGATGCCAAAGTATGGGCCGTGCCTGCTGGACTGGATCATGAAGCACGGCGCCTTCAGCCATCGCCATCTAGCGCAGATTATCTTTCAGGCAGGCACGGCACTGGACTACTTCCACACGGAGCTGCGGCTGATGCA